ATGGTATAGTTTGAATTATATGCTGAAGGCTCACAATTTTCCCAGTTTTTTTTCATTAGTTCTCTTAAGATCCTTGACCCATTTTTCCTGTGAATATCCTCATTTTTTCTTACTTCAATGAGGATTAATTAATTCAAGAGGATTAAGAATTAATCCTCCAGAAACTTGATTGGTATGTTGCTGAACAATTAAATTATTTTAGGTTGTGTTATTTTTATAATATTCTCAGCCTTCTCACGAGTGATGAATAATTCTCCAATTTTAGGTCTGTTTTTATTTCCATAAAGAGTATTTTATAGTTACATTAATTTAATTCCTATGCATGTCTTGGTAGATGCCCAAGTAGCTCTTAGAAAAAATAGGTATTTCATTGATTATCAAAATATATAGAAATGCTGATGATTTCTGTGGATTTTTTTCATATGCTGCATATGTCCTTGCTCAATTTTTTTTCCATTATTTTGATCTTTTACTCTTACTAGATGAAACATCATTTCATCTGAGAAAGGGATATATTTTGTGTCTCTTTACCAGTGTTTATTCTTTTTCTTGTATGATTTGCGTAGCTAAGATTTCCAGAACTTTGTTAAATAATCAGAGTGATAATCATCCCTCTATCCCCCTCCTCTAATTTGAAAGGACTACAATTTTATATTACTATCTTGCATTCCCATTATTGGAATGCTGTAAACTCTTTTCAACACATTATTTGAATAGTTTTCTTTTAATATTTTATAACTATGTCATTAGGGATACTGACATATAGTTTTCTTTCTCTACGCTGTCTCCTACTGTTTTAGATATCTCAGATGTTTCTTAGTTTGTCATTGTCTATTCTTTTCCTATTTTGGTCCAGAATTTATTTAATGTTAGAATTAATTCTTTAAAAGATTGATGATGTAATTCACTTGCAAATCTATCTGATACTAAAATTTTTTTTCTTGGGAAGTTCAGTTTTGATTTGGTAAATTTCTTTTTCTAATATTGGGTTTTTTACATAATATATTTTTCCATTAACTTGGATATTAATATATTTGTAACTTGTTAATTTCATTTGTGTTGTAGTTTTGTTGGCATATAATTGGGCAAATTCTTTCAGATATCTCCTTTGTGTAGTCTTTAAATGTAGGGAATTTCTCCTTTTCAGTTTTAACATAAAAAATTTATTTTATTCTCTTTTTATGACAAACTACATAACTGCTTGTTTTATTAGTTTTTTTAACTCCAACATTTATGCATCAATTCAATGTGATTATTCTGCTATGAATTTTCTTGATTTCATCTTTAATTTTCAGAATTTTTGTGTTTCAAGGTGGGAGTTGGTTTCTTATTTTTCTATTTCTTTTTAGTTATATGCCCAATTCATTCATTTATCCTTTTTGACTTTTGTTGAGGAAAGCATTTAAAGAGAAAATTTTCCATTATGGACTGCTAAGCTACATCCCTTAATCATATCCTACATGTTCTGGGATACCTCATTATTATAAACTACTTCAAGGACAATTTCTGTTTCTGTAATTTCTTCTTTAATCTACCAATTCCTAAGCATGAAAATATCTAGTCTTGATTTAATTTTAATCCTACCTTCAAAGTCCCTTCATTGAATAAAGTTTTATTGCACTGTGGTCAAGTATGATAGTTTTCTATTTCTCTGCTTCTACATTTGATATGTCAGCTTGGTGGTACAATGGGTAAAGCACTGACCTGTAGTCAGGCAGACTTTTGAGTTCTCATCCTCTTCAGACATTCAAGCTGTGTGAGCCTACACAAACCATTTAACCTCTGTCCATCTCAATTTTCTCATCTGTAAATGGGGATGGTAATAACATAAACATCCCAGATTTTTGCAGTGATCAAGTCATATAACTTATGTAAAGTGCTTTGCAATCTTAAAGTGCTTAGAAATGCTATATTATTATTAATTGATTGATATTATTATTATTCTACAAATGCTAGCTATTGTTTTTATGAGAACTTTGTGTCCAAGTCTGTGGTTTATTTTTGTAATGGTACCATGAATAACTAAGAAATATACATAATGCTTCCATTTGATGGTCACCAGAGATTTCTTGTCCCTAAATTTGCTTGAGTTCTATTCATTTCCTTAACTTTTGCTATTTATCTTTTGGTTAGATTTCTATAAATTTCAAAAGAATACACTGAGGTGCACAACTATTTCTTAGCTTTAATTTTCAGTGAATAGACATTTATTTTTCTCTATCCTATCCACTCTATTAAATAAATAGAAAACCAAAATATTTGTAACAAAGAAGCATAATAAAGTACAACAAATTCCTATGTTGTCCATGAACAAAAATGTATGAATAATTCTACATTGAGATTGAGTCATCTCTCTGTTTTACTCCATCATCATTCCTCTGAATCATAATTGATCCTTACAATGATCAGAGTTCTTAAATTCCCAAATTCTTTTTGTTATAATGTTGCTATTGTATGAATTTATCTTCTGGTTCTGCTCATCCAGCATCATATAAATCTTCCAAGGTTTCTCTGAAGCCATAACTTTCATCATGTCATACAGCACAATGGTTTTCTATTACATCTATACACCATAATTTTGGTCAGTCATTCCCCAATTTATAATTAACCCTTTAGTTTCTAGTTCTTTGCCACTATAAAAATAGATACTATAAACATTTTATATACACAGGTCCTGTTCTGCTTACTTTGATTCCCTGTGGTATAGGTTTATTAGGTATATTTCTAGGCCAAAGGACAAGACAGTTTTGTGGTGGAAAAGGTATTGTTCCAAAAGGCTTTCCAAAATGGCCACACCAGTTCATAGCTCCACCAATAGCACATTGATATGTCTGTTTGCCCTCAGCTATTCCAGTATTTGTCATCTGCCTACTTTGTCCTCCTTGCCAAAGGGATGAGTATACTGTGGAGTATCAGAATTCTTTTAATTTGTGATTCACTACTTATTAAAAATTTGGGCATTTTAATATGTATTTTGATACCTTATATGTCTTTCTTTGAGAACTACAATTTATCCATTCAAGAATGGCCTGATTCTTATAAATTTGCATCTGTTCTTATATATCTCAGAAATGAAGTCACCAAATGTGAATTTTATTGGCTATTTCTCCCTACAATTTCATTAATTTGTCCTTTAAGTATTTTAACTGCTATGTTGATGGGTGTGTGTCATTGCCTGTATATACATGCATATAGTTACATTCATATAAATATATATTACATAAACAGATTTTTATGTCTATATATAACTATACATGTAAACATACCTATATGATTAATGCATATCATATATGTTAAATTAATGTGCTATACCTTTAAAATTGATTTTTCTATGTTATCATTAAGCATATTTTTCCATGTTTATCTCTTTTAATCATCTCTATTTTACCATAGCCTTTTCTGAAATCATGATTGCTACATTGCTTTTTTATGTTTATTTCAAGCATAATGAATTTTTTCCAGATCTGTATTTTATCTCTACATGATTTTTTATGTATCAAAGATGTTTCTTTTAAATAATATATTGTTCGAATCACCTTTGTAAAATATTCTACTGTCCTCTTCCATTCACTGGGTGAGTTCTTCCCACATGTTTTCACAGTTATAAGTGTAAATTTTGTATTTCCTTTCATCCTGTCCTTTTGTCCCTAAGTTTTTTTCTCTTCATTCCCTCTTTACAGAGAATATGGGAAAAAGATTCATGATCTATAAATGACACAATCTTTTTCTGCTTCACTGCCCTTTTCTTCCCTATCACACATTATCACAGATTTTTTTCCTTTCTTTTTTTTCTTTAATCCATTTGTAAGAGTCCACTGCTTCCAATGATGGAGTTAATTTATGAACACTCTCTCAAAAACCTGCCCTCCTATTTAGGCCTCCCTCTCCTTTCCCCCAAACTTACCAATTTCCGTGTTTAAAGTATTTCTAATTGTACGTGTATGTATGTATATAAGTGGTTGTATGAAAATGTTCAATTTTTTTGTCCAGTTCAGATGAAGATGAAGATTATTGAATACCTAATCGGCCTACTCCTTTCTCTATTTCCCTATACTCTTCATCTCATGCACAACTGTTATGTATAATGGATCCATTAACTATGGAAAATGTGAACTTCCATATGGCTTGTGGAAAACATTGTGGAAATGTGTAGGCACGTGATTAGAGTAGAGACATAGACACGTAGTTAATTAATCTTCCCCAACCCTTTCTCCAAGGGAGTCTTTAATTTCTGACTGAGGGTGTTACTCTAGAACACACACACACACACACACACACACACACACACACACACACACACACACACTCCTCTTCAAGGACTTAATTTTTTTACATCAAAATAAAAAAAAATCCAATAGCTTTTCTGGTCATTATCCCTTAAAGAGTGAAGGTGACTCGAGCTTTCACCTTCACCCTTCATTCATTAACATCGAATACTAATTATATAAAACACCATAGCTCTTGCTACACTTCAGGAACTAAGTACTAGTGATAAGAATAAAAGCAACCAAGACAGTCTCTGCCCTCAAGGAGCTTACATTCAGAGGGAAAAAGAAAAAAAATTGAAGACTACAGAAATGGGTACTGGGAAATGTGCCTGATGAAGCAATGGAAAGGAAGTGACCTGGAGACACGGGCCCTGGAAAGATAAGGCAAAAACTCACCTATAACAGCTGATGAGCCCAGGGGCAGTCCAAGGTACTGGTGGGAAGGAGGTGATGATCATGACCCAAGAGCAGAGGCATGGTTTGCAGACAGCAGGGAAATGGTATATTACTTGCATATATAGTAAATGATTGATAAATATTTGTCAGTTGATACATGAATACATGTCTCACAAATACTAGAATGCTAATATTTATAGGGGAAGGTTCAGCACACCTCATAAAGAAGGTGAGTAGGTTGTGAAATTTTATTGGGAATTCCTCACAATGGAAAAATCACATTCCTCTGTGTTTCTCCCCAGGTGACTTAGGATCTGACAGAAAAGTGCTCCAAAACCTTCAAGGAATGATTTCTCAGAAAGAAGCCCTGGACGTTGTTTTCTTCACTGTACTTTCCTTTGGAATCCTGGGGAACATGTCCCTTCTTTATCTACATGGCCTTAAGTACATCACTGGTCACAGAAAAAGATTCATAAGCCTCATCATCATCAACTTGGCCTTTGCTCATATCTTCATGATTCTTTTTAGGGGCATTATCCTAATAATAAACAAGTGGGGATGGAGAAATTTCCTAGATGAGACAATGGGTAAACTATTAAATTACTTCATAAGAGTGACCCAGAGTCTTTCTCTTTGCAGCACCTGTCTCCTCAGTGTCTTCCAGGCCATCACCATCAGTCCCACCAGCCCTAAGTGGGCACAGGTTAAAACAAGAACTCAAAAGTATATTCCTTCCTGCTGTATCCTGATCTGGATTTTCAGTCTTCTTCTTGATATTGCTGCACCCATGAATTACAGTAGTCCAAAGAACAGCAGTAATGCGCGATGGAGGATTGGGCAGATTTCTTTTGACTTGCAAGCCACGAGCATTATGAAAATTTTAGTTTATGAGTCAGTTGTTGATGCTGTGTTTGAGGGTCTTATGATCTGCTCTAGTGGCTACATGGTGTTTGTCCTGCACAGACACAGCCAGCAAGTCCAGCACCTTCACAGCACCAGCCTCTCCCCCAGAGCTTCCCCTGAGACCAAAGCCACCAAAGCTATCCTGATGCTGGCCATCACCTTTGTCTGCTTTAACTCAGCCAGTTCCCCTTTCATCATTTATATAGCTTCTGCTAAAGCAACTAGACACTGGGGAATACGTTTCACTGTGGTCTCTCTCTGTTTTATCCAATAGTCAGCCCTTTCATGTTGATCACCATTGAAACCCAGAAGCCCAGGCCTTTTCCTGCTCTCTTAGGTCTGAAGAGCTACTTTCAGGAAGGACTCTCTAGTTGAGGAGAACTGCTAGGGAAAATGGAGAGAACTGGGCATCAATTAGGATGAGATTAACAATTTAAACTATGTCACAAAATTAGCTCAAAATTGCATTAGCAACCCAAATATTAGAGATTACATCATCAAAAAGCAGGGGATAAAGGGAGAAGTCACAATTCACAGCTAAGGACAAAGGTAGAATTGTTAGCAAAAAAAATAGAGGTGATCATGAAAAAAAAATAAATAATTTTAATTATGTTTGAATTAAATTCAAAAATGTTTCTTAAAAATTCAATAAAAATAAAATAATAAGAGTAACTCTCAAGTCAGGGTAAGAGGGAGGGTTATAGCAAATATCTTTATTGAGCCTGATATACAACATATATACAGAATTGATACAACTATCTAAAACCAATATGCATTGCTCTATTGATTAGTGGTCAAGTGACATGAAAAAAAATGTTTTTAAAGGAAGAATTGGAAACTATAAATTGCCACATAAAAATAAATTCCAAATGATTAATGGCAAAAGAAATATAAATTCAGACAATTCTGAGCTTTCATCTTATACTCAGCAAATTGGCAAGGATAACAAAGAATAGAAACATTTCACATTGTAAGTGTTACGGTAAGACAGGCATACAGATGTAATTTCTGGAACTGGGGATGCTTTCAACTATCCTAGATATTAATTTGGAATTATATGAGACAAATGACTTGAAAGTTCATCTCTTTAACCCAATGACCCCATGACTCCACCTCTACTCCCATAAGGTCAAAGATTAGAAACAATTAGCTAATTGAAAATTAATGTTGCTTCCTCCCCTAAAAACTTGCAAAGTTATAATGAACAGGATTTTATCCAAAAAATGGTGATTAAGTGTCTCTCTCTGTGTCATGGCAGAGGCAAGGGCCCAAAGGCATGAAACATTGCATATTTTTTTTTCTTTTTAATTGATTTTGATCAATTTTTCTTCCTTTTTTTCATTTTTAAAAGAATTTTCTTTGTTATAAGATATTACTCTCTAAGAAGAGGTATGGACAGAGACACAGAGAAAATGTTAGGCAATATTAAAAAAGCAAAAAAAATGAGCAAAAATTCATTTTAAAAAAAATAATCAATCAGAGGCAGCTAGGTGGCACAGTGGATAGAGCACTGGACCTGGAGTCAGGAGGACCTGAGTTCAAATGAGGTCTCAGACCAGATACTTGACATTTATTAGCTGTGTGACCCTGGGCAAGTCACTGAACCCCAATTGTCTTGCAACAACAACAACAACAACAACAACAACAATAATAATAATAATAATAATAATAAATCAATCAAAAGGAAAACTTCCCTTCAGAACTATAATTTCCACAAAGGGAATCAGGGGGTTAAATAAGAAAAACTGAAGACCTGAGGGTTAATTGTTTCTCTTCTGAGGGAAAAGGGAAAAGAGAAAAGTACAAAGTGCACGCTGGCATAAAAAGAAGAATGATAATGGTGATAACTAACGTTTATGCGTGCTTACTATGTGCAAGGCACTGTGCTAAATGCTGAACACGTTGGATCTTCACAACGACCCAGGGAGGTAGGAGAGATGATTATTCACATTTTACAGCTGAGAAAACTAAAGCAGTGAAAGGTGAAGTGATTTGCTTAGGACTGCAGAGCTAGTCAGGCTAACTAGCCTGAGACTAGACTTGAACTCAGGTCTTCCTGATGCAAGGTCTGGTGCTCTCCCTATCCCCTGTGCCATCTACCTGAACAAATACGGTAGAATCTGATGTTGCTCATGATTGGGGCACATGCCAAGAGCATACAAACATGGAGGAAAGGATGAAAGGAGAGGGCATCACATGCACCTACACGTACATTTGTACACAGTTTGATGCAGAAATGAGTCATACTCATTGAGGAAATAAATATGGACAGAGAGAAAAGGGTTAAGTGGAAGAATATAATACAAAGAAGGGAAGCATCGTAAGCTCAACAAAATTCTTTATCTGGAAGTGGGAGCTAGAGGGAACAAAAGAAGCAGTGGCCCATCAGCTGAGGAACAGCTGAACGAATTTTGCTACAAAAATATTGTGGGACTTTATTACACTGATAACAAAAATAACCGTTTCAGAGAATCCTACGAAATAAGAATCAATGAAGAATGGAGTGAGCATGAGCAGAACAATTTATACAAGAAAAGCGATGCTAATGAGAAACAGCTCTAATCAAAGCAATGACGTATGATAACTCTGGAAAATGCCTGATAATGTATATGACACCCTATGAGAGCTGATGGACTCAAGGTGCAGAAACAGATGCATATTTTTGCACATAGCTACTGTGGAAATTCATTTTGCTTAGCATTACCTATTTGTTACAAGAATATATTTTCTTTCTTTTACTATGGGAGTAGAGAATTAAGAGAAGTTAGCAGTAGGGATGAGAATTTTTAAATGTCATTGAAATATTTTTAAAAGTACATGGAAGAGTACAGAAGGAAGTTCAGAAGGAAGCACACACAAGCAAGACAGCTTTGAAAGTGGAATTCATTATATACTTTTAAAAAACTTATGGAAAGGAAATGGAGTTTCACATAAAACCCTTTTTGCTAGGTATATGAAAATTCTCATTTTTTTCTTTGTATTTAAGTTCAGAATAAAAAAAAATAATAATCATTTGTCTGGTTGACAAATTGATATCAATTGATTGTTACAGAAATGAAGCACATCAGTGGGAAAGAAATGATGCCAGCCTTAACAAACCATCCCGAAGCCATCTGGGAAATCCCCATAACCCTGAGCAGACAAGAAGTAGCTGAGCTCTGAGGACCTAACTGGTTGACTTGGGAGACTATATTCAAAGCCTCTATGTGCTCTACAAATGTAGTAATGAGGACTTCTTTCCTCTGTGTTTTACTTTCCCTTGTCTCTATCATTTTCTTAAAAATGTGTTGTGGAAAATTGTTCAAGTAAGATGTATCACGCAGCATATTTTAGATATATCTAAGCCCTTCAGTACATCCAGACTTTTGATGGATTTGCTCAAATGGGGGGAATAATCCTAAAGATTCAACTGAAAAATTAGTAGAAACAATTAATTTTAGCAAAGTAACAGTATGTGAAATAAAGTGATTAGGCTTTCTATATATCACAAACAAGACCCTGCAAGAAGAAATAGTAAGAAATACCCCATTTAAAATAACAATAGACAGTGCAAAATACCTGGGAGTATACCTATAAAGACAAACCAAGGAACTATATGAACATAATTATAAAATACTTTTTATGAAAATAAAGTCAGATTTCAATAATTGGAGAAATATTGATTATCCATGTGGAGGAAGAGATAATACACTAAAAATGACAATTTTATCTAAACTAATCTATTTTATTCAATGATATCCTAATTAAATTACCAAAAACATATTTTTACTGACCTAGAAAAATCATAACAAATTTATTTGGAAGAACGAAAGGTATCAAAGGAATTAATGAAAAACACAAAGGAAGGAAGTTTAGCAGTGCTGGACCTTAAATTATACTATAAGGCAGTGCTTAGGAAAACTATCCAGTAATGTCTAAGACATAGAAAAGTAGATCAGTGAAACAGAGTAGACATATGATACAAGGTAGCAAATGATAATAGAAATCGAGTTTGGCAAATGTAAAGATTTGAGCTTTTAGGATAAGAATTCATTATTTGGTAAAAAAAAAAAAACTTGTTAGGAAAGCTGGAAAGTAGTCTTCCAAAAATTGGGCAAAGAGCAATATCTTACACCATTTACAAAGATAAGGTCAAAATGGATAAATGACCTAGATATAAAGAAAGATACAAGGAAATTAGAAGAATGTGGAACATATTACCTATTATGATTATGATTATGGGAGAACAATTTATGAATAAAGAAGAGATAGAGAGCATTGTGAGGTGTAACATGGATTTTTTTGATTACATTAAATTTAAAAGGGGTTGTACAAATAAAACCTGTGTAGCTAAGATTAGAAGGGAAACAAGTCATTCCCCAATTGATAAATGGTCAAAGGATATGAAGAGGCAGGTTTCAATGAATAAATCAAAATAATATATAGTTGTATGGAAAAAAATTTCTAAATCACTATTGATAGGGAAAATGCAAATTAAAATAACTTTGAGACATCTTACACATATCAGATTGGCTAAGATGGAAAGGGAAATTGGCTAAGGGGAAGTCACAAATATTGGAGAGGATGTGAAAAAATTAGGACACTAATTCACTGCTGGTGGAACTGTGAACTGATCCAACCATTTTGGACAACAAACTGTGATTATGCCCAAAAATTTATAAACTGTATATACCATCTGATGTAGCAATACCACTATTACAACTGTTTCTCATGATAATTACAGAAAAAGAAAAGGAATGTATATGTTCTATAGTAGTTATGCTGGCTCTCTTTGTAGTGGCAAAGAACTGGAAATTGAGGCAAAAACTGTCAATTGGGGATTGGCTAAACAAGTTGTGGTATATAATTGTAACAGAATACTATTATGCTATAAGAAATGACAAGCTGGTTGGTTTTAGGAAAACATGGAAAATTTGAACATGGAAAGACTTGCATAAAATAAAGAGAGAAATGAGCAGAAACAAGACAATGTTGTACACAGTGATAGCAATATTGTTCTAAAAACAACTTTGAACAAGTGAGTCATTTTGAGTATCATAAATATTCAAATCAATTACAAAGGACCAATAAAGGAAGATATTATCGATCTAAAGAGAAAGAATTGATAAATAGAAGTATATATAGTATGGTTTTACAAATATATATGTAGAGATTTGTGGGTGTATGTGTGTGTGTGTGTGTGTGTATATATATATATATATACACATATATATGTATGTATATATGTATACATATCTATACATTTGTGCCTAAAGGTAGCCTTCTGTAAGGCAGGATGGGGAAGGAAGGAGAGAGAAAAAATTTATAACAAAAATGCCATAGAAAATATTTTCAAAT